CTTGCACGAGCCTAATCTTTGCAGTTACAGAGACGTCCCAGCATCTTGGAGCATATTTGTTTTTTTTTAATGAAAAGTTTTATAAAAGTTACAGTATACACCCCAAAGCCCACCCACCCTAAACCCTCCCTCTCCCTCCCCAACTTCCCAGAGCTGAGTACAGGGTTACAAATATAATAATCATACTCTAACTAACATTAACCAACTATATAAATAACCAAGTCCATAATGCGCTTCAACTCCCCTTTAACATAAGGATAAACAAATTAAAAATAAACATAATGATATAAACAAGTTAATATCCTAATTATTAAACAATACAATAAACAATACTAATACTAATAATAATAATAAAACTAATAAAAATTCTACTATAATAAACTATTAATAATCATAATACTCTAAAATTTACTCATAAGCTAGATGAAACTTTTTAGTCCCATATTTATTCTGAATATAATCTATCCATCTTCTCCAGACCGAAATGTATCTTTCTTGTGAATGATCCTTCAAATAAGCAGAAATCTTAGCCATTTCTGCTAAATTTGAGACTTAAGCGTCCTTTCTTCTATAGCAGGAAAACAATCCTTCTTCCAATATTGCCCTACCAATAACCTTGCAGCTGTTATCAAATTCAACATCAAGTTAATTTCTTTAACATCACAATCTATAATAACACCCAATAAAAATAATTGTGGAGTAAACTTTATCTTTCTCCTAAAAATCTTTTGAATGTTCCACCAAATCTTAATCCAGAAAGTTTTTATATTTTTACAAGTCCACCAGATATGAAAATAAGTAGCAGCCAAGTTACCACATCTCCAACATTTGGGCTGTAAATTAGGATACATACAAAACAACTTTTTAGGATCCAGATGCCATCTATAAAACATTTTATAAAACTTTTCTCTTAAATTTTGGGACTGGGTAAATTTTACATTTCTAACCCAAATTACCTCCCATATATCCAATAGAATCAGTTCTTGAATATTTTGGGCCCATTTTACCATACAATCTTTAACTAAATCCATTTCTGAATCCAATTCTATTAAAGCATTATAAATTCTCTTTATATGCGCTCAATTTTGATCTTTAATCTGTTTTACCAAATTCTCATCCATTAAAGTAATACCAACCTTTTGAGCATATTTGTTTTTAAAGACTTCCAAACTTTTGTTTGCTGTAAAGAACGAGGGAGCTTGCTGGGGACGTTGCAGCCTGTGAAAATGTTAAATTGATCTTTAAAAGATAGAAAGAGAACAAACTAAGGCAGGGCTTTTCTACCTTTTCACCCATTCTACCACTTTTAGAATATGGCAACATCCAAGTACCACCAGTCGCCTAGCAAGGTGTCAAAAACTTGATGACCAAAAAAAAAAGAAAAGAAAAAAAGTGATAAAATACAGTTAATCCTTGACTTACAGCAGTTCACTTAGTGACTGAAGTTACAATGGCACTGAAAAAAGTGCCCACCAAGCCACAGCTGAGCAAAACGCCTGCCCGCCCAGCAGTGTTCTTCCTCCTGTCCGAGGTTTTCATTGTTGTTATGAGCATTTCTGTTGAGGATTCGCAGCGGGGGTGGGGTGGGGAACTGTTTGGTTTTTATTCCCCCCGTCTGCTGGGTGGTTGCAGCAGGTTTTGGTCACTTCACATGACCCTGGAACACTGTGACTGTTATAAACATGAATCAGTTGCCAAGCATCTGAATGTAAATCACAAGACCCTGGAGATGCTGCAACATTCCAGCTAATCGGCGCTTCTTCTGGGCTCAGCAGAAGTGCCAGGATCAGTGCTGCTTTTCAGCTGGAGCCTGTTGCTGATCCTGGCGCTTCCGCTGAGCCCTGACAGCCCCGAAGCACCGATCAGCTGGAAAGCGGCACTGATCCTGGCGCTTGCACTGAGCCCTGACAGCCCTGCAGCTCCAGTTGTCTCTTGCTCAGGCTTGTGCAGTGCTGCCACCGGTTCAGCTCATTCCTGTCCCCCACTACCACTTTTCTAGGATGGTCGCGTACCACCTGTCAGGTGCCAATGTACCACAGGTGGTACCCGTACCACTGGTTGAAAAGCCTTGAACTAAGGTATATCCCAAGCAATTATGTCTGATCTGATTTTTGTTTTGTTTTTTATAAACTGCCCTATTATGCCATTCCTGGATGGTCTTCAGAAGTGCCAGGTGACCAAGAAAACGTGACGCATTTCTTTTAAATTCTAAGCAAGCCTTGTTTATGCTCATGCAGGACAGTATTTTGGAAAAGATGGAGAAAAGCTGCTTCGGAATATTAACGTGGTGCCTGTGTTTTTTCTCAGGATTATGGTGCAAGTCTGGGAAAAGATTCAGCTGCTTTAAAAAAAATAAGATAAGGGTCATCGTTTTCCCACTTACATATTGCAAAACATATTTTTGGAATTAAATTGAAATCATTAGACAGCCCTACTTGATATTATTTGCTTATCTCTCCCTCCCTACCCCTCCTTCCGTTTTTGTAAAATAAATGGTTGAGATTTTGTTGTCCAAATAGAGGGAACTTTATAAAGTTTTTTCTGGCTTCAGGATTTCAACAAAAACCATCTTGCCAGACTTCTTTCCCAGCTCTTGATCTAAACGTTTCCCAATTATTTTAAAGAAGAAATTCTCACAAAAGTGATTTTTGTGTGCACTGTTATTTAGCTATCTTTGCAAAACAAAGAATGATTTTCTGCTTAAAGAACAGAATTTAGGCAGAAATTGTTTATGTTGTTCCCACTTCCCCTTTAGAAAAGCAGAAGGGAGAAATGACTGTGAATTGAAGAATTAAAAAAAAGAGATTTGCTTTAAAAAAAGAAATGCTTCTAAGAACAACAGTGATGCAAGTTGGAGTGTCTTGGTAAAGTTGGAATAAATAATTATACCATTTTAACCTTTTGTAAAACTTACATCAAAAACGATAAAAAAAATCCTGGAGTCCATCATAGACATAGATGTAAACCAGCTGAGAAGTAGGCTGGGCAAGTTGGCTACTTTCCCCCATTTGTTATATTTTCTGTTTGTTTTCTGAAGCCGAGAATGGTGTTTCAGTAAAGTGTTTTTGAATGTTGTAATGTTCTTATCCCCACCCCACCCCCCACCCCAAATAGTCAGCAGAGAGCTTGTAAGAGTGAACAGGAGTAGACTTTTGGTAAGTACATCTCTTCCTAGTCAAGAAAGCCCCAGGATCAGTTAATTTACCTCTGGAGCCAAATTAATCCTCCATGTTTCCAGTTTAGACAGCTTTAAAATAAAATTTGCTTTCTGTGGAGTAAATTTTACACTGGAATGCCACAGTCTGTTTAAGGTGAGCATTTGCTGGGTTTTCATAGGCTATAGGGCCAAATTCTTTGAATATCTCTGATTTGCCTCTCATTGGACTGATCACATGTCCTTTGCCCACTTGCCAAATTTGGGATGGAACTCTCTTACAAATTGGTACAGTCCTTCAGATGCTGCGAACTATGCTCAGCCTCATGGTGCAAGTTGAATGAAGCCACTAGGAACCATAGCCATGGAATGGCCACTGGTAACAGAATGGTTATACAAGCAAGTCTCCACCCGCCACGGTTGGGATGGAACTCTCTTACAAATTGGTAAAGTCATTCAATATGTTGCTATGTCACCATACTGACTTGCACCATTGGTTCTCTATGTGGTCATTAAGCAAATGGCACACAGTCCTTAAGCACAAATTCAGGTGAATGTGACTTGCGACCTCCTGCTGGTTTCCCCATTGACTTCTGCTTGTCAGAAGCTGGCTGTGAAGGTTGGTAATGGGGACCACAGGCTGATGAAGTGACTGTAAACAGCTGCCAAGTAAGCAATTTGTGACTGAGCCCTTTAGTGAGAACTGCATACAAAAAGAGCCAACGAGGTTAGTTCTATTAATATTGATAATCTCTGAGTTCAGTGATTTTCTGAAATTTGGGGAACAGACATGTCAAGAAATTGAATTAGCCAAGTGATCCCTTTCCTAAAGCAAAGCCTAAGAAACCAACAGCTACTAAATTACAGCTCAAAGCATCCTTCAGCAAAGGACAGTTTGCCCTGTGGCTGCAATTATGTGCAGTTCAACCTCTGGATCCCCAGATGTTCGGTTGACTTTTTAAATACAACAATATGCAGAATTACCAAGATTCTGCTCCACAGGGGTATCGCTATAAAGATATAGCATATCAAATGATCCTCAGCGATGTTGATCAGGATCCCAAAAATGATTTCAATAATTCCTATGAGTATCTGGGTGATCTGCAAACAGAGTCAGAAACAATTTCAGCTTCAACCTCCAGTTACAATTCACACAGCACAATCAGATCAACAGGACAGGACAGCAGGGGAAACAAAACACATGACATACACTGTTAATTTAGATTTTATCCCCTCCCTTCTAAAAGACTTTCAACTTTACTTTATATCCTCTTAGCTACCAGCCAGTAGGATGCACTACAACAAGCAATTTCCTCCTTCTCCAGGCATAGATATTCTTACTTTCAACACTTTTTCTTATATTTATAAAGATTTTTTTTAAAGGAAGCTACTGTAAATACTAAGAGAAGGGATTTGTTTCTGTATTTTATTTTTCCAGACCTCACGCTACAGGCCTCAAGATTACCTTAACAGAGACAGGTTATAAAGTTTGTAGATGTACATTATCTGGTCAGAATAACAAATCTTTCAAGAATGTTCATACGTGCACAACACAGAATCCTCATGATACTATTGCAACAGAATAGGATGTATGGATAACCTTTATTGTCATTTTTTTCCTGTGGGCACAACGGCACACATTAAAAATGAAAATTCCTTCTAGAGGAGGGATCTGTAACCGTGACAACTTTAACACTTGTGGACATCAGCTCCCAGAATTCCTCAGCCAGAATTCTATGCCATGCTGGTTGAGGAATTTTGGGAGCTGAAGTCCACAAGTGTTAAAGCTGTCAAAGTTGTAGATCCCTGTTATAGAGAATTCCGTTTCCTGGCTTCGCATACCCCTTTTCGGCAACCGAGTAGATGGCCCGGCACGTTAGCCGAAGCATGGGCAGTGCTTCAGGCTGGCCCTGCAGTGGAGAAACTCTTGGGGAATGTCGAAAGGGGACCCAGCAGCCTTAGGACAGGGGTCCTCGACCCTTGGTCCGTGGACCAGCACCAGTCCGCAGTATGCCAGCAAGAGGGTTGCACAAACAAGCAAAGCTCCACCCTCGGGATGCAGGCAGTATTCAAAACCACACCCCATCTGGAATGACGGTGCCTCTCTTGTTAAAAATTAGGAATGATTCATATTTATATGTTACTTACATGTAAGGGTCTAGGTTGTATACTGCTTTCGAGGCACAGGATCCGCTGCTGAACCTAAACCCAATGAAGCTGGAAACACGCAGATGCTAAGCAAACAAAAACAAAAACAAAAACCAACAACTCAAACGTCATCGATCTTAAAATTCTCAAAGGCTGTTGCATCACCCGAATGCAGCTTCTGCTTCGGACGAAAGCAGCTCTAGCTGTTTGCACTCGATGAAACTCTGGCAGGAATCACATTCTGATGACGACAACCTAAAGAAACATATAATGAAATTTTAAGCCACTTGTTTCTGTGTATTTCTCATTCCACAGTTCACAATACAAATTCTCAGCTTGCCAACAGCTTCTTGAATGCTTCTATCTCTCCTTGTTTCAAATAAGGCTCAGAAGCACTTTTGGTTCCATTGCCATGAGGAATCTGGATAAAGACATCACTTCCTCTCTTTAAAGCAACTGCATCCTTTTCTGGTTTAATATGGCTGGTGCTGCTTCCCCAGAAAGAAATGCTTCATATGGTCTCACACATTGTTATTATTATTTTGCCTGATCTTTGTTAACTGTGGACACATTGCAACATCTGGGTATCTTTTAAGCCTTCCACACTCTTCTTTGTTGTTAAGCACCAGGGCCAGCAAAATGAGAGAGAAAAGAGAGAGAGTATCCCAAACAATGACACACACACACACACGCACACACCCCTATGTCCCTCTTTATTTCTGTGGAACTTAGAGAAAATAAAAACAGCAAGCAATATGTGCTCAGCAGTTTATTATTATTTGTCTGGAATGCAGTCTTGCCTAAAATAAAACAGTGAGATAAGCTGGATGGGCAGAAGGCAGCCTTGATGGAAAGTCAAGTGGCAAGGAAACCCGTTTTGTCTTCTGTATACATTTATATCCTATCTTCATTATTTTTATAAATGATTTAAGGCAGCAAACATAGCTAATATTCCTTCCTCTTCCTGCTTTCCCCACAACAACCCTATGAAATTAGTTGGGCTGAGAGAGAGAATGGCCCAGAGTCGCCCAGCTGGCTTTTCTTTATAAGGCGGGACTAGAACTCACAGTCTCCTGGTTTCTCGCTTAGTATCTTAACCACTAGAACAAACAGTTAAAATTTTAAATTATGGCTATAAATTTGACTCTTTAGTTTTCATTGGAATATACAGCTGTTGAGACTTTTATATGAAGGCTTCCCAGGGTCATTGTTACATCCCACAAATAAAATTCTGGAGTGTGTTGCAAGCATTAGATGATTTCACACAACTAGCATAATTGGTTGTATGAGTGTAGCTGAGTGCAACAAAATATATGACACAACCATTGTAAAGTGGAAACAATAGCTTATCCATAATGTGTTGTATAAACTCGACCAATTGTGCATTTTCCAAAAGCAAAACATAACAAGGTTGGGACAAGGTGCCAACCAGTTCACAGAGACATGTCTTAACCAGCAATCAGAACATTCACATTGTCAAGATCTTTTACACATGGTGTTTGGCTTAGCCCACTAAATGTTTTAGGTTCCGCTGAGTAAAAAGTTCCGTGCAAATCCTTAAAAAGCTCAAGTCTTCAATTTTGCAGGAGCCAATGTATTCCAGAATAGCTGCCAAGAAGGAAAAGCAACTCAAGGGAACTCTGGCTGTTTGCAGTCAATGGATGGATGTTCAACACTGGCAGGAGTCACATTCTCATAAATGACGACAACCTAAAGAAACATATAATGAAATTTTAAGCCACTTGTTTGCGTGCATTTCTCATTCCACAGTTCACAATACAAATTCTCAGTCTGCCAACAGCTTCTTGAATGCTTCTGTCTCTCCTTGTTTCAAATAAGGCTCAGAAGCACTTTTGGTTCCATTGCCAAGAGGAATCTGGATAAAGACATCACTTCCTCTCTTTAAAGCAACTGCATCCTTTTCTGGTTTAACATGGCTGGTGCTACTTCCCCAGAAAGAAATGCTTCATATGCTCATACACATTTTGGGGATTCTACCTGAAGTGTTGCTGGACTGTGTGCAGATGAGGTGATACGTATTGTCAATTTTATTATCAAACTCATTTGCTACCCATCTTCCAGTCTGAGGCAACTCTGAGCAAGTCTTAGTTAGAGATGAAGGTTGGGCTCACTGAGATAGGTAAGGTAGTTTGTTTCCGTTAGGTTTATCACAATATGAGAATCAACCATAACTTGGGATTTGCAACATAACATACTGTGTGAAGCCAAATGATTGTTTTGTTTCTTTGACAGCACACTTAATACAATGTATGTGCTACCCTAGAAACTAAGCTTATTGGCCAGCATTTGTTTCTGAATCTGCTTCCCTTGATTAACTAGCCTTCTTCCTTTGGAATCTTACCGTTTCAGTGAGGGCATTTCGGCAAAGCATTTTACAGCCAAATGATGCAACAGAGATGGTGATGCAAAACTCCAGGATGGTGAATATAAGAAGAACAGCCAAAATTCCTTGAATGATATGCTATCGATGAAGTAGAAGAGAAACATATCTATTTTTATAAATAGAGATAGGCATATGTATCTCCAGTTCTAGAGTAAGGAAGATGACCTGGATTAGATATGCAGGCTCTGTTTTGCCTGGGCAAAAGGGAAGAAGAAGTGTTTTTTTAAAAACATGAGAGCAATGAAATAATTCAAGACTAGCTCAGGTCAACACCTACAGTAGTGGCCAAAATTGTAGCAACCTTTTGGGAAAAGTGTACAGTAGAAATGACACCTTTGGTTAAGTTTCCACCAATTTTTCTTCTAATTTCTTTATAACTGTAGCCTTGTTCACTTAATAATACTATTTTACATCACTTTCTAGGCAACCAGTCAACTCTTTGGACCATTAATTTTATTACGTTTTACAAGCTCACTAAATGAAAGAACACAAAAAATCCCAACCAACTTGATAGCGATCACATAACACACTGATGATGTCCTCCTCTCAGTTTCAATACATGACATCAGTAACTGAATCCTACTGTGATCTGATTTGCTCAATGCCAAAACAAGATGACACCTGATTGGCTCTCTAAACACTCACGCTCATTGGCTACAATCAGATGAAGGAAAGCTACCTGATATCAACCTAAGCAAGTTATGCTTCCTTTTTCTGGTTATTTGGCTATACCTTTTCATAAAATATAGTACAGGTAATTGAACAAACTTTGTCGCATTACATTCTTGATTAAATTATCGTTCCGTTGATATATAATTTTATGGTACTACTCAAAAAAAGTGGTATTATTAGCCATCAAACCTCAAAAATACACTTTTCCCAAAAGGTTGCCACAATTTTGGCCACAACTGTAATTCAGGGAGGAGGGACAGCACAAACAGCAGTGCATGTTTCTGTTATTACAGCCAATTTCAATAACATTAATAGTAGCTTTCCTGCAGAGATGGTTTACTGGTCAGTTCTACCCAGGGTTTTTTTTTTCATAGAACGCCCAGAATGGAGTTCCGGCACTTTTTTGGATGGAACCTTGTAGGGTAGGCAAGGCAGGTTATATGACATGTGTGAGTTCCAGCACCTTTTTTTTTTTTTTTTTTTACAAAAAAAGCACTGGTTCTACCTCATCAGACTGACTAACACATCCTAAGTAGCATAGCTAGCACCTAGTGAAGGTGGGACCTGTCCACACAATAAAAACTGCAAACTACATTTTTGTGAAACAAAGAGTTAACATTTGATCAAAAAAAAGTGAAATGCCAGATACAACAATTCCATTAAAACTCTGCCAAAATTTTGGCTGCACTGATATAGCTGCCATTTTAATTCTTGCCCATGCCTTGAAGACGTTAATCTTGAAGCTGTTCTGAAAAGATTGGGAGAAAGAAAATTACAGCAGGCCAAACTCTTCAAACCCCCAAGACAACATTTCTGTCCCTCCATTCCATGGTTAAAACTCTGTTTGAAAGATATTTTTGACCCCACCATGTCCATCCAAAGATTTGCATGTCCAGCTAGAGGTTACCACGAGCTCCCTTTGCTTTCTCTGTCCTACTGAGGCCAACTTTTTAGAGCAATTCTGGAAGGTCACAGACTTACAAGACTTTCATAACACTTTTCTTCATAATTGTGTTCAAATTCACGGCAAAGGAACATGAAATGATATGAAAAACTGATGGTGATACTGGAAGACAGGAATATGATGCCAATACCAGCTGATACAGCACTTATCACATTCATTGCCAGCGCACCTTGCACCTAGGAGGAATAAAATAAATTAATAAATGTACAAAAATGGGCGCACGCATATGAAGAGATTCAGCTGGCTTTGTGCTCTGAATTTGCTTCAGACTTTTACTCTCTACACCAGGGGTTCCCAACTGGGGATGCTCGCACCCCCTGGGGGTGCAAGATGATATTCCAGAGGGTACGAAAACCTGGGTTTAGAAGTTTCAAAATTATAGTGTGTATGCACCATTTTTTGTAAGGGGTGCGAGAATATATCAGAAGCGTTCTAGGGGTGCGGGGTATAGAACTGCTGCTCTACACCCTCAGGTATGGCTGAATTCCCTTCATGTTGTACTTAAGTAGTGCAACTGCCTCATCTAATCAGAATATTCAGTTGGAGATTGAAACAAAGAACCTCTTTGCTAAATGTTAGCATAAAATGACCCACAAAACACCTGGAGTTTCCAAAAAGGGAATCCAGGACAAGAATTTGGAGTGGAGAGGCTCTTAAACAACAAGCCAGAATCATCATGATGCACCAATAGATGTTAATGATCCAGGAACATCATAAATCCACCAAGCTCCAGATTGGCAATCCAGGAGCTTGTAGCTCTCCAGGGCTTGAGACGAGAGGTTTTTTTTTTCCCAACCTTTCTTGAAGAAGGGGGAGATCATGGCCAGAATCCCAGAGATGGAGGGTTTCTGATTTAGCTATGTCGTTCACTTGGGTCACATGGGTTAATTACCAGAGGGATCTTGGGATTCCGAGCAGCTGCCACAGCTAAGGATCTAGAGATGATGTACTGGAAGAGAAGGAAAAGCAAGGGAACCACAATGGCTACATGCCCAGAGAACAATGTAGACCCATAATCTCTCTCCCACCTTAAATTCCTGCCTACTGTTTTCTGATTATCTGTTGTGCTAAAACTCAATCAACGTTCCCTATTCCAGTTGAAGATGCAGCTGATTTGAGGCATTAAAGAAGGAGCTACAGTCACAGGCATTTTACTTTATGTAGCACTGCAGTACTATTCAGCATTTTCCCCATGTTGTTGTGGCAAGGACACAGGTCCCCAGCGGCTGTGAACAACTCTCAGACTCAGAAGTTGAATGAAACCACTAGGAAGTGTAGCCCTGAATGGCAACTGATATTCAGAGTGATTATCTGAGCTGTCCTCACCCACCAAAATTGAGTTGGGCAACTTGGTGCAGTTATTAAGTGTTATGTGACATGACTGTGTTGACTTATATTGACAGTTCCAGATGCAGTAATAGAGCAAATCAAATAAGTCATTAAGCACAAATTCATATGGATGTGACTTGCAACCTGTTGCGACCGTAGCTTCCCCATTGACTTAACTTGTCAGAAGCCGATGATGAAGGCTGCAAATGGTGATTTGATGACCACGGGATGCTAAAGCCACTGTAAATGCACACCAGTCGCCAAGCAACCAAATTGCAATCGTGGGGACATTGAAGATACTTTGATGGACAGATGTTTGAAAACCGGTTCCCCCCCCACACACACACACATTGTGATTTGAAATGATCGCTGAATGAGCTGGTTGATAAGTGAGGAAAGAGAGTAAATATAATAACTTCTATTAAGGTTTGTAATCTCTCAGTTCAGCGGTTTTCTGAAATCTGGAGAACAGACATAAACCACAAACTGGAACTAGCCAACTATCTTTCAGGTAAGACCGGTTTGCCCTGAGGCTGCTGTGATGTGCGTTTGGATCCCTGGTTTGGCTGTTAACCTTTTTAAACACACCATTATATAAAATTACCAAGATGCCACTCCAATAAGCGATCTTTATAACACTATAGATGATGAAATAATCATTCATTATATCAAGCAGGATCCCAAAAATCATTCCTATGATTCCTATGAATATCTGTGTGATCTGGAAAAGAGAGAGAGAGAAATCACAAGATCAGTGATAGTCAGGAGTTGAGAACCAACAAAATTCCAAATGTCCCTGAACCAGGATTTTTTTGTTGTTTTAATTTAATTTTTCTAGGCCTCAAGCTCACCTCAAGACCACCTTAAGGGGGAGAGGGTATATACTTCTTAGCTGCTACATTAGCTGGCCAATAAAACAAATGGATCAAGAATATTCATACAGTATGTACAGTATATAGCAAAGTATCCTCCTAGTCCTGTTGCAACAGAACAGGGGACCCGGGGATTTGCAAAACATGAGGAGGAATCGTCATTCCATTTCTCTCCATACTCACCCCCAGGGCCAGAGGTTCACCCTGATAAAATTTCTTCAGTGGGACTGGAAGATCAGTCTGAGTGGTGGAAGGCAAGGACCCTGGGACTAGAGGAGCATGCATGCTGGGCTTTGCAAGAAGGGCGGCTCCTTTAGGTCAGCAAAGTCAGCAATGCTGGGGACCATAGAAAGGAAGGAAAAAGAGAGAGAATGTAGAAAAGACATGATCCCATCTTTTAATTCCCATTCTCAATTTTGACTTTGTATGCATTTGTCCTTAAGGCTTGGTCTTGTGCAGCCAGAATTAGTCCCTCGGTCTCTTTCTTCAACTTTCCTGCTCTTTAATCCATTGCCAGGTCTTGTTAGTCTCTGCTTTCCCAGCTATTTTTTTTAATGTACTGGCCATGTAGTGCCTTGTCTTCCATGCCTCCATTCTGTTCTTTATTTGGTCTCTTGTAAGCCCGTTTGGTCTATTATTATTATTAGTTTTAGTATTAGTAGTAATAGTATTATTAGTATTGTTTTTACTGTTATTATATTACTATTATGATTATTAATAAGGTGACCAACCGTCCTCCTTTTGGGAGGACAGTTCTCCTTTTGTGAGTTCTGTCCTCACTTAAAAATGTCCTCCTAAATGTCCTCTTTTTTTTATATTTGAAGACTTATCTGCAGGGCTTTTTTTTCCTCATAGGATGCCCAGAAGGCGTTCCGGGACCTTTTTTTGATGGGTTTTTTTTCAACTTTTTCCTGAGCTGTGCTACTCTCCCTACTGGCTTTCGAAAGCCAATAAGAATTGCTGCTGAGTGCGCCAAAACACCCAGGTGGCAAACTTTGCACATGCAAGTTGCAGGAACTTTGCACCCCTCACTGCTACCCAACTACACCATCTCTTACTTAGTTCCGCAGATAGCTGGAGAAGAATGGAGCGGTAAGTTTCTCTTGATCTTCCCTGTTCGGTTGTACACGGGGATGCACAGAGTAGGTGGTGGTGCTGGGGGGTGGCTGCAGGGCCGGAGCCAGCGCGCCTGGTGCTTTGCAAGCCGCGGGGCCGGCTCTATGGGGATGCGCAGGATGGGCAGTGGTGCTGGGGGGCAACTGGGGTGGCAGCTGCAAGGCCGGAGCTGGTACGGCTGGTGCTTTGCCTTTGCAAGCCGTAGGGCCGGCTCTATGGGGATGCGCAGGGTGGGCGGTGGTGCTGGGGGGCAGCTCAGGGCTGGAGCTGGCTCGGCTGGTGCTTTGCGAGCCGCGGGGCTGGCTCTCCACAGCAGGGCAGCGGTGCTGGCGGGACGGCTGTGGGTGGGGGCGCGGCGGCAGTTGACCTTCCATGGGCCGCGCCAGCTGGTGGTCTATGCAGTGCTGACCTGTGCTGCCACCACCTCACCCTGCGCATCTACGTGGCCATCCTGGAGCGCCTGGCTCACAACACCTGCGTCCGCCGCCCACCCCCGCGCAGTCCAGCCGTGTAGATTTTTGGAGAAGTGAGAAATCGAGATTGAATGTTGATATTCTAGCTGTAGCACTTGCTGTAAAATTCAATATGAGGGATATTTCTTGTTCAGATATTTCCAATATATTGTTAGAAGATGATACATTGACAAAAAATATTCATTCAATGGAAAAGTACACATTTAAATAATTAATAGGCATGTAAGCATAATTACAATATAAAATGTTATTGTTACAAATGTTTTTTATTATGCATTGATCACATTATAGTGTATTCTGTATTATTGTTGCAATAAATACAATGTTTCTTTTATTTACGATATTTTTTTCTTCAATTTATTCGTGTCCTCCTTTTTGTTGTAAAAAAGTTGGTCACCTTATTATTAATCATCACACAGTCAGCTAGATGATCAGTCTGGATTTGACATTTTTGTCTACCTATCAAATCCTTACCAAGGACTTGGGATAGGCAGATGTGGATGTTTGAATTGATGGTATTACAGATATTGTCGCAGGATGGAAGCAGTTCCTAGTACGGCTGCCTTTTGCAATTGACTAATGGCGAATTTGTCAATGCCAAAGGTGTTCAAGTGGTGCTCCAGCTGTTTTCGGATTGCACCTAAGGCACCTATTACCATTGGCACTTACAAATTCACTATTATTATTATTATCATCATCATCAATCATTATTATTATTGCGTCCTTCGCGAAATGGCAAGACACGAGAAGCAGTTGTAGTTCTCAGGAACTCTTTATTCTTTAGTTCAGCTTAAAGTTGGAAGACGCCGGCAACGCCCAAAACTCTCGGCCTCTTTTATAGGCCTTTCCCGGGTCAATCTACAACTTTTGGCACGCCAGCACTTGTGCATGCACACAAGTATTGGCGAAGCCTGCCTGGTCCCGGGCAGCTTGCACCTGTCCGGGACCATTTGCAATGCCCCGAGCCTGCTTGCACAGGCTCGGGACATAACACCCCTTCCCCCCGGGCTAAAACTATTACCCATGCCATAATAATACATAACTCATTTTTTAGTGTAGTGCCATGTTCTCCAATACCAGGTAATCCCCGTTTTCCATCGACTTCAGTGCTCTACTTTTCTACTAGCTCTGTTTTGCCAATAGGGTTACAAAATCCTCTAAATACTTAGGAGATTTCCTTGCTCTCTGTGACCTCCTAAGTTCTGGGTACCTGCCAAGTACCCCTTGACTGAGGGGTGATGCGTGCGTGTCCCCCCTATTGTGCCTTGGTGGTCCCCAAGGACTGCTCCACTGCCTGGCCTGCTTGCTTGCCCACCGGGCTCGTCAGGCCAGGGCTTCTTTCTCTGTGTAACCTGGTTGTCCCGCCTATCTGTAGGCTCTCTGGCCCTTCTAAGTGACTGTCACTGTTGGGCGTTTCTGTAGAACCTCCTAGGTCCGTCCAAGACCCGTCAGGAGGCTGTCTGTCCCCTGAATCCCATTCTGTGTCCGGGCTTGTGTGGGTTTCAGTACTGTCCCAAAACTCAGTTGTCCCCTGAGTGAAGTCAGAGGTGTTGTAGTCAGGATTTGGTTCCTCGACAACCTCCCTGTGTGTTTGCCCCCTTCTAGGGATAGGGGTAGAGTCGGGCCAACTAGAAGGAGTGTGTGCCAGCTCTCTTGCAGGGTATGGATTGTTGGGATGCTCCCGGGTATTCTCTCTGACTGGAGTACTGCGTGATGCGGGTGAGTAGTGATTATGCCCCCGGGGTGACTCCCTGGCTGGAGTAGGCATTGATGCCTGGCTTCTAGTTGGGCTCCATGACTTCCTGTTGGGAGCACTTGCGGAATCTTGAGATGAGCTGTGTGTAGCTTCCCCATTGATAATGGGCATCAGCCCATGCCCCTCCCTTTGCCCAAAGGGTTCCCCCTCCCCCCCTGGAAAAGACCCAGGAGTCTCAGCGGGAAGGTCCCGTCTAGGGTGAAGTTGGTCGATGTGCCGACGCAGGACACGACCGTTGTCCAGGGACACCTCGTAAGACAGAGGACCTGTGACCCTGGATATAGAAGCGGGGACCCATGTATGACCAGGCCCGTAATTATGAGTCCAAACTGGGGCACCCACAAGTAGTTGCCTAGGTGCCCTGGGGTGTGAGACAGAAGGAGGCAGTCTGTCCGGATGCAACTGGTCAAGCTTGGTAGTCAGTTTGCGCCCCCAAAGAAGTTCAGCTGGGCTTCTCCCTGTAGAAGTGGACGGTGTGGTGCGATAAGAAAGGAGGAAGTCAGCCAACCTGTGATGCCAGTCTCCGTAGGTAAGTTTCTTCAAGGCATCCTTGGTGATGCAAACCATGCGTTCAGCCATACCATTAGTGGACGGGTGGAAAGGTGCAGAGGTGGCATGACGAATCATGTTAGCCTGCAAGAAAGCTTGGAATTCGGAGGAAGTGAATTGAGGGCCGTTGTCAGACACAATGACGTCTGGGAGCCCGTGTGCAGCAAAAATCCCCCTCAGTACCTGAATAGTCTTTGCAGTGGTGGTGGATGAGACAGGTACACCCTCAAGCCATTTTGAATGGCTGTCAACGAGGACCAAGAAGAATTGACCCTGAAAGGGCCCAGCGTAGTCAATGTGCACCCTAGACCATGGAGACTGTGTTTCCTCCCATCTATTTACAGGAGCTTGGGGCATTTCAGGGTGTGAGCATTGACAAAGGTGACATGCATGCACCTTAGCTTCAATGTCTTTGTCTAGGCCAGGCCACCACAAGTGGCTGCGTGCAAGAGTCTTCATTCGTACAATGCCAAGATGACCCTCGTGGAGGGAACCTAAGACCCTAGTCCTCATTGAGGTGGGAATGACAACTCTGCTTCCCCAAAGCAGACAACCCTGAGAGGTGGACAACTCATTCCTTTTAGACCAGAAACTCTGAAACTCAGGACCACGACAGTGCTCAGGCCATCCAGACAAAACCCAAGAAAGGACACGTGAAAGTGTGTGATCTGTGCCTGATTCAGCGGCTACATCCCTGGCATTCAGAGGGGACTCGGGCAAGGCTTGGATAGAAAGAAGATTGATAGCTGGCGCAGGGTCAGCTTCTATTACCGACAGGGGTAATCTACTGAGGCCATCAGCATGGCTCATTTCCTTCCCAGCCTTGTGAAGTAGGGAAAAATCATATGCAGACAAAAAGATAGACCACCTGAGCATCCTGGGGGAGATGATTTGGGGGGTTTGCTTACGTGTGATAAACAGTCCCAGCAAAGGCTTATGGTCAGTGAAGACCATGAAATGCCTACCATATAAAAAATCATGGAATTTTTTAATCCCAGCAACAACAGCTAAGGCCTCCCTGTCTATTTGAGCATAATTACGCTCAGCAGAAGACAATGTTCTGGAGTAATATGCAACAGGAACCTGAGTTCCATCAGACCTGAGGTGGCTCAGTACAGCTCCTACCCCATAAGGGGAAGCATCACAAGCGATGCACACAGGAAGGGATTCATTGAAATGTGCAAGTACACTGTTAGAAGTGAGTAAGGCCTTGACTTCATTGAAACTTGCCTCATGTGTTTGTGACCACTGCCACATTGCCTGTTTATCCAATAGCCTGTGAAGAGGCTCAGCTACACTAGCCTTATGTGGAAGAAAGGAATTGTAGAAATTCAGAAGGCCCAGAAAAGCCTGTAGTTCGGCCTTAGACTTTGGCCTAGGGGCTTGCATAATGGCTTTTAGTTTGGATTCAGCAGGATGAATCCCAGCAGCATCAATTTTGA